GACAAGCCCAAGATGATACACATGACTAATAAACTCGGGTCATTTCGTATGAATATCTCAGTTTCACTTTCAGAGTGTATAGTTGTATGAATATTTTGATATTTCGCTTGTCTGGGGCTCATCAGCTAGACACACACCCCGAGATCCCGTCAATCTTGCGTTCAATGTTAGCATTTGGTTGAAACAAACCGTTCTTGACGAGATTCAGCTGGATTCAATTGTGTCCCCAGTCAAAACCAAATACGTTTGAAAACGGGAGCATCTGTCAAAATCTGTCCGATTTGTGTTCGAGCAGAAAGTGACGTTGACGGACAATCGGGGGCTGCGATTACCTGATGAGCTCCGGACGAGTGAAAACCGATGACAGTTTTACTACGTATTATGCTACGTAGAGTTCACATATTCTTACTCATCTGTTACGTAGGTTAAATGTTTCGCGTGTTCTCCGGTAGCACCGAAAGAGTTTATATAAAAACGCTTTGAATTATCTAGAATTCAGACATGCCGATACTCACCACCATTTCTAATAAATATTTTTTCTAATCGAGGATGCATTATCCACTTGATGATCAGCGTACCTCACTGACAATCTTCCCCACTGTTTAGCATAATGATTACTTTCTCGGGAAAGCTGTAGGCTCTTGGTGGACGGTAGGATGAATCTTGGAAGAAAACGCTTTCCTAATCGTTTGGAGAATTGCCTAGTCATTAGTCCAAACCTGTGCTCCACAAGTAGTATCCTTAGCCATTCATATTAGTCGTGAATCTTTCGTTTTCCTTGCTGAGACCCCGTTACCAATCTGTTTTCAGGTCCCCGGGGTAGCTCAGCACGCAATTCATCTAATGGAGCTATGCAAAGCCGGATACGAGGCCGAAACCCTCATCGACTCTGTCCACAACATCTGTTCCTAAGGGGCACGCATCGTCTTGTATGTTTAGCCAACTTTCCGTATTGTGTCCTGTCATCGTTACAAGACATGTGTTGTGTTTTTCCATAAAACAATCAGTCCGTAAATTTTTCGTTAAAAACCAAAGGAATTTAGGTAAAATTGTCGGTATTCTCAGGCTTTGTGTACTGATCAGGACACCTCCACAAATCTGACGTACTGTTGCATGAGAGATGCACAGTATGGATAAAAATAGGCCAGTCGATCAACGCAGGTAGGACAGTTTATGGGTCATCTGTCAACTCAAACATACTGCTCAATTTTCAATGTTTCTCGTGTTCACTCTAACCGTGCTAGAGACGCGTAGTCAAACTTAGCCCCATAGACTTTGAACATATTCTCATACAGCCATTTAAAACTTCATCGGATACTTAGATGATGTCGTTGGGACGGTTTCAGTTTGTCTAACAACCATACTGGTAAGCAGTCGTTTGGATTCGTCTGTAATCTCAGATGTTCTCTTACAACATTGTCAACCTGATGTTGTTGTACTAGGTTCATCAAATGTCTATGTTTACGGGTGAGGGGCGGACGGGTCCGACTGAAAGCCACATGTACTTATCCAGGACCATTATCCATTTACTCAAAGAAAACGTCTTGGATAACACGGAATAGTAGTACCGCACAGAAATCAGCACAGAGTAGACATCGATTACCAGAGGAGGAACAACACCTGCCTAGGAACCGAACAAGGAAACGCCGAACTACACAACAGGCCGGTTGGCCACTCGATTAATGCACAACAAAAATTGGACGACTATATCTGACCGACCTGGTACTCATGAGTATCCAGAAAACCCTTCAGCATCTCACTGGAGGTGTCCCTTTTCTGGCATTTATTTGATAGGCGTGCAATCTGGTGTCCAATTAAAGCAAGGTTGATCGGAAATCGCGGACGAAAAACTCAAAGACGAATCAATGCCACCAAGTAGATGCGGTGTGACAGTTGATTCACACGTTCCACAAATGTCTTTCTTGGAACTGACGTACAAAAGCAGTCTGCATTGTACAGTCCTTGCGCGCTTGACTAGACCTGTCAACCCACAGACTGTGATGGAATTTTTTAGGTGAAATATGGACTACAGTATAGAAACACTCCCGTACTGCAGTGAATTAATTGCTATTTGAAGCAGATTGCTGCATACAACCAGCAAAATTAGGTCGTCATTCGCAAGTTTGTAAATTGTTCTACTGACTCCAAGGAATTGGTGATAGGAAAGCCAAGAAGCATGGATTTCTCATCCCGTAAACGTTTCGTGTCGTGAATTTATGTGAGTAGCAGTCATAATATATCCTTCTTTCGTAAAGTGCTTGTTTCATCCGGACACTCCACTGGTACATGGCGCATACAAAACACCAGAGGCTGGGCATCCGACAAACACCCCAACTCACTCAGCAATTTGTTTACTGTGGTTACCCACAGAAGTTAGCGATCGATTAAATCAAGTTATCGCCACCAACCTGTGGAACACTTCAGCTAATGTCGGAGTGAATTAAGCTGAATGTTACCGTTGCGGCTGATACGGCTATTCTTAGTCCTGCGCCTGGTGCCAGGAGTAACTTACTCATGAAGGTACACAACAGATTTATTCCAAACAAGCGAGTACGTGCAATTGCAAATGGTTCGACGGCCCCGCGCTATTTAAAGGGCCCCCTTTTGGCATTAATGCAGGCTGTCTGATAGAGGTTTAGTGAACAGCAGGATGATATTTAACCCAATTGAAATTCCCGGGACAATATGAATTGGCATTTTGTTTCCCTTGGCTGCACGTTAACTAAAGTAAGTGATATCTTTCGCTTCCCAGTAGCATACACAAGATTGAGCAAATCCCAAAAAAACTTAACGTTCCATGTTTTGCCCGGACTGGTCGCGCTACGTAAACGATGGAAGCGAATCGCGCACCTCGGTCCAGGCCCCCTCTCAAGTTTTCAGATTTGCAACTAAAACCATAGAACAAATATCAGACAGCATTGTCTCTAGAGAGCTCGAGATAGCCCGGTGTTTAAGGCACGAACATATTGCCGGGGGTTTCGCACTTCGAGCCCAACCCTGGCATTTCGGCTGCCCCTGTTTTGAATTATGGAGTATCGCAACCCTCGTGCTTTTTGTGTGGCGCAGTACAACACCCATATGATTGATTTACAATAATTATTTTTATTACACGTGAATGCTCTTAGTTATGATGTATTGCGCAAATGATATGCCAGGTGATCTTTACGAGGATGAAAGAATTATTCTAGATAGGACCATCATCGCTGGTCTGATTGAATGCCTACCAACGCTAACAAATTTTGAAGCCATAGAATTATAAAACTGATGATGGGAGAGTAAACTCGTCATCCGTCATTAGGAGTTGTGGATGTTTGTATCACTTTCGACCAGAAACACATAAATGCATCGGCAAAGAGCAGGGACAAATTGGCGACCAAGCAGAATCTTGGGGACAACTGCTATGATCACATCGTGCGAAAAGTGAGAATTTGACGGCTTACAGAGCCGCTCCCGGTC